GTCATTCACCTACCGATCTACCTAGTCATCGACCCAGTCATCCACCTACCGATCTACCTAGTCATCGACCCAGTCATTCACCTACCGATCTACCTAGTCATCGACCCAGTCATCCACCTACCTATCTAACCAGTCATCGACCCAGTCATTCACCTACCGATCTACCTAGTCATCGACCCAGTCATCCACCTACCGATCTACCTAGTCATCGACCCAGTCATCCACCTACCGATCTACCTAGTCATCGACCCAGTCATTCACCTACCGATCTACCTAGTCATCGACCCAGTCATTCACCTACCGATCTACCTAGTCATCGACCCATTCACCTACTCATACCAGTCATCGACCCAGTCATCCACCTACCTATCTAACCAGTCATCGACCCAGTCATCCACCTACCGATCTACCTAGTCATCGACCCAGTCATCCACCTACTGATCTACCTAGTCATCGACCCAGTCATCCACCTACCGATCTACCTAGTCATCGACCCAGTCATTCACCTACCGATCTACCTAGTCATCGACCCAGTCATCCACCTACCTATCTAACCAGTCATCGACCCAGTCATTCACCTACCGATCTACCTAGTCATCGACCCAGTCATCCACCTACAGATCTACCTAGTCATCGACCCAGTCATTCACCTACCTATCTAACCAGTCATCGACCCAGTCATCCACCTACCGATCTACCTAGTCATCGACCCAGTCATCCACCTACCTATCTAACCAGTCATCGACCCAGTCATTCACCTACCGATCTACCTAGTCATCGACCCAGTCATTCACCTACCGATCTACCTAGTCATCGACCCAGTCATTCACCTACCTATCTAACCAGTCATCGACCCAGTCATCCACCTACCGATCTACCTAGTCATCGACCCAGTCATTCACCTACCGATCTACCTAGTCATCGACCCAGTCATTCACCTACCGATCTACCTAGTCATCGACCCAGTCATTCACCTACCTATCTAACCAGTCATCGACCCAGTCATCCACCTACCGATCTACCTAGTCATCGACCCAGTCATCCACCTACCGATCTACCTAGTCATCGACCCAGTCATTCACCTACCGATCTACCTAGTCATCGACCCAGTCATTCACCTACCGATCTACCTAGTCATCGACCCAGTCATTCACCTACCGATCTACCTAGTCATCGACCCAGTCATTCACCTACCGATCTACCTAGTCATCGACCCAGTCATCCACCTACCGATCTACCCAATCATCGACCCAGTCATTCACCTACCTATCTAACCAGTCATCGACCCAGTCATTCACCTACCGATCTACCCAGTCATTGACCCAGTCATTCACCTACCGATCTACCTAGTCATCGACCCAGTCATCCACCTACCTATCTAACCAGTCATCGACCCAGTCATTCACCTACCGATCTACCCAGTCATCGACCCAGTCATTCACCTACCGATCTACCTAGTCATCGACCCAGTCATCCACCTACCTATCTAACCAGTCATCGACCCAGTCATTCACCTACCGATCTACCTAGTCATCGACCCAGTCATTCACCTACCGATCTACCTAGTCATCGACCCAGTCATTCACCTACCTATCTACCCAGTCATCGACCCAGTCATTCGCCTACCGATCTACCTAGTCATCGACCCAGTCATTCACCTACCTATCTACCCAGTCATCGACCCAGTCATTCACCTACCTATCTACCTAGTCATCGACCCAGTCATTCACCTACCTATCTAACCAGTCATCCGCCCAGTCATCCACCTACCTATCTACCCAGTCATCGACCCAGTCATCCACCTACCGATCTACCTAGTCATCGACCCAGTCATTCACCTACCTATCTAACCAGTCATCGACCCAGTCATCCACCTACCGATCTACCTAGTCATCGACCCAGTCATTCACCTACCTATCTACCCAGTCATCGACCCAGTCATCCACCTACCTATCTACCCAGTCATCCGCCCAGTTATCCACACACCATCCACCAATCTGTCCTCCCAGTCAGGCACCCACTCATAAACCCACCAATCCACCCCATCATTCACCCTATCCACACTGTCATTTATCTACACATCCACCCAGTGATTCACCCACCTATCCACCCGCCTGTCTACCCAGTCATCCACTCAGCCATTTACTTAGTAATCCACCGAGTCATACACCCAGCAGTCCATCTATCCATTGAAGTAAAATACATACCCATCCGTTCACTAAACCATCTGCCAAGTCAGCCATCCATTCATCTAGACACGCTTCTAGTCATCCACATAATCAAACATGTGTTCATCCAAACATATAGTAACTCAACCATTCACATACCAGTCAAACAATTCACACAACCACCCATCTGTTCAATATTTTATAAAGCCTCTGAATTATACACCCATGTATTCAAACAATCTGTCATCTCTGCAATTAATCTAATGTATGTCATCATGAAGTGGGTTTTGCATGTCTTTGCCGCTGGCTTTCCCCACAGTGACTCGCTTGCTACACATTTAGCCCTGCTGGGTGGAGCACAGAGCTGTATGTGGGTTCCATTTTTTAGAACAGGGATTAGATCCATTGCCCTACCCACTGAAAGGCCTACTGCAGAAGGCGGCTAATTAGGGGTGTGTTTTTCTCATGAGAGACGAGAAACCAACGGGCTGCATACAAATAAGTCTGATCTTTTTAAACGGATGTGCACACAAAACTCAAGATGTGACCCAAAACCCAAAGACCGGATTTTGACCAACAACGTGAACTTGCCGCTGGAGTTTATAGCCTGAAAACGATAAGAGAAAGCTCAAGACATTCTGCCATTGCTGGCTTTTGATTGAGTTGAGTTGAGTTGAGTTGAGTTGAGTTGAGTTAAGAATAGACATCACAGTACTCAGGACATTACTATATGCACCTATGCGAGTTCCAATACTAATAGTGGCGGTCTTAGTCTGTTTTTATGTCCGTCATGCCTTTCCTCTAAGCGTAGTGTACCGGCCGAACTCTCTGGTCATGCCCAGGTGTTTCAATCTCTTCAGCCCATAATGATATAATTTCTCTTCTGACGTCTTTACTTATTCCCAAAGGGCTCTGACCACATCTGCCTTTTCATGTATCAGTTCACCACCACCCAGCGGTGCAGATCCAACCAGTCTGTCTGCCTGTTTATTCCCCACTACGCCGGCATAACCTGAAGAAAAATCCCAAAAAATGCCCACTACCCGTGACCTACAAGTGAAGCTTGCCACTCTGCTCGAAGCAATCCTGTCTTCACCTTTTGCAGCATGCTTTCAGAGTCTTTTACAATTACGACCTGTGTGTGTATCTTGTTCTCTAATCACCGGAGAGCTGCAGTGACCGCCTCCACCTCCATTCTCATGCTAGATGTCGTGGTATCATATGCCTGGCTGTCCTGCACTAAAGATTTTCTATTGGTTTTCACAGCGAAACACCAGGCACTTCTTTTCCCTCTCAATACAGAACCAGCAGTGTAGATGAGATTATCGGGACGAGAGTTGTCGTGAATCAACTATTGGACTTCCACATCAGTAGCCCCCGCTAGCCACTCTCTGAACTCTTGGCCTATTGTGATCATGACCCTTCAGAGGTCAGACTTTTTCTCTGGCACTCTGACCCACTCCTCTCCTCGTCTAATGTTCTCCAACATGCATACTTGTCTTATTTTGTCTTCTACCTAAGCCATCCACGATTTTTCCCCTTTCAGCTTCTGACGCTTAACTGCATCTAAAGTTTTATACATAGTGTACTCTTTATCTGAAGCTAGCTACTTCAGGGCATGACTTAGGCTGCATAACCTTTAGCCTATCTGCAATAGTCGGCAATGCAAGGATGTATCGCATGCACACAATCGGGGTGTCTCTTGTACATCCCAGGATCCCAGGATAGCTTCATTCTGTATGCGCTCCAGTTTCACTAGTTGACTCTTCAAGACAGTGAGCAAACCCAATCCATGAGATGATTAAGTGATGGTATAGTGTGAACAGCAATCTTTGCTCCATGACGATTGTCTCATAAATAATATAAATAAATATAGCGATAAGTCCTGATATTTAAGGCATGCATACTCTTAATGGTTATTTGATACATGTTCCATTTGTCATTCAGCCCTTCTTTTCCCTGGTGGGGTTTTGCTTTCATTGTAATTCTGTTGCGTTCTTTATTATAGTATGTAACATCACCATGTTTTGCTGTCAGTCTTAATAAGACTTTATATGTGTTGCAGCCAATGTTAATCAGTCTTTCTGCGTGTTACAGCCAACATTACTCAGTCTTTCTCTGTGTTACAGCCAACATTACTCAGTCTTTCTCTGTGTTACAGACAACTTTACTTAGTCTTTCTCTGTGTTACAGACAACATTACTCAGGCTTTCTCTGTGTTACAGCCAACATTACTCAGGCTTTCTCTGTATTACAGCCAACATTACTCAGGCTTTCTCTGTGTTACAGCCAACATTACCCAGGCTTTCTCTGTGTTACAGCCAACATTACTCAGTCTTTCTCTGTGTTACAGCCAACATTACCCAGGCTTTCTCTGTGTTACAGCCAACATTACTCAGTCTTTCTCTGTGTTACAGCCAACATTACCCAGGCTTTCTCTGTATTACAGCCAACATTACTCAGGCTTTCTCTGTGTTACAGCCAACATTACCCAGGCTTTCTCTGTGTTACAGCCAACATTACTCAGTCTTTCTCTGTGTTACAGCCAACATTACTCAGTCTTTCTCTGTGTTACAGACAACTTTACTTAGTCTTTCTCTGTGTTACAGCCAACATTACTCAGGCTTTCTCTGTGTTACAGCCAACATTACTCAGGCTTTCTCTGTATTACAGCCAACATTACTCAGGCTTTCTCTGTGTTACAGCCAACATTACCCAGGCTTTCTCTGTGTTACAGCCAACATTACTCAGGCTTTCTCTGTGTGACAGCCAACATTACTCAGGCTTTCTCTGCGTTACACCCTGCGTTAATTAATCCTTTCTATGTTTCAGCCAATGTTAATCAGCCTTAACGAGAGGACCGTCAAATTCTCCAGAGAATGTGTGCAGAAAACCTCAGACAACAAGTACCTAGTCATGCACAGAGAGGAGAACCAGAGCGTCAAATTCCTGTGTATGCAGTTCCTGCAGCGGGGGGAGAACATCGTGCAGATTAAAGTGAGCATAGTTACCTTCGTCTGCGGCTCCGAAAGTCGTGTGTTTATATCCACATGACCCTGGATTTTGATCACACAGGATCTTGGCTCCCAGGTCGACACAACCTTAAATGGGTGCCAGGCAAGGTCCTGGGAAGAAAAGGTGGCCGGCGTCATGTTTATCTCATTACCCATCGAGGGCCAATTGGTCTAATTAAAATTGTATTTAGGCTTATATACTTGGGAGCCGACGTTGTGTAGCGGCTAGACGCCTGCCTGCCGATCCGATAGTCGTGGGTTCAAGTGATGACGGTGCCAGACTTTTTCCAAAAATGACCTTGGCTCCCAGGTCAACCCAGCCTTAATAGGTACCAGGTATATTCCTGTGAAGTAAAGGCGGCCAGCATGGTGTTAAACATTTCATCCACCAAGTGCTGATTTTTCTCTAAAATATCTGTTCTAGCCCTATATGTCCAATACACCTGAAGGCTTGGAAAAGGGTCCATTACTGTCTTGTTTGTACTCATGTACCTGACGCACCCCTAGCTGTAAATGGACCTTTTGTTAGTTGCGCATCCTTTACAGGACGTTGCAGAACCAACCCCAGCAGCCCCTGGCTGTCGTGTGGTTTCTCTAGGAAAATTTACGTTCAGTAGTTTACCATTGCTTCTGGACGGTCTGTCCCCTAACACCACTGCCGAAACTAAGGCAAGGCGCATGGCCCGCAGCTGGGAACACGGCAACTCGGCATTACGAAGCGTTTGCATCGACTTAGCCACAGAGCCGACAAATGGAGCTTTACTTTACTTTTACTTCTCGTTACATTGTCTATGTATTGTTATAAAGAACTGTACATGTGAAGAGTAAAGGAAAGTTTTTTTTTTGTTTTTTTTTCCAGTCAGTAGCAGATGGAGGATAGTTTGCTTGACTAGTGTTTCTAGAGACCAGTCAGCAGCCGAATAAACGTTGTAATGACACTGACCACCCTTGTACCGTCAACAGTTACCTATGTGAATTCATTAACAAGAGACTTGGTTGAACAGATAGGCCATGGTAGATGCTGGAAGAGAGGTTCAAAAACATATGGCTGGCCCTGATCCTAATGACAATATCTAACAAGGAGGGACCAGGCCACCATGTTCAGACTCAGAAAACAACATATTCCACTCAATTTTCATCTAAACAGAATGAGTCACAACACTACCAAGAGTGCCAGCTATGTAACTGCCCCTACGAAACTGTTGACCATTGTCTCTTTGAGTGCCCAAAACTCAGTGAGACAAGAAGAACGCTACTCCCTCTGAGACAAGTGGAACACCTTGTCGGAGGCAAAGAACAGCTTGTGAAAAATGTAAATTGCACCACATGGCATTGGGCCAAATGACGATAGCAACAATAACATTAATCAACGCTTTTAAAGACACTAATCTGTTTTGCAACTTCACCAGTTGACCCCTGCTGTAATGCCAACAATTACATGTGTCAACATCGGTGAATGTTGTAATGACACCAATTGCCTGTGTAAAGCCAACAATTTCCCTGATACCATCACCAGACAACTTTCTAAAGACATGAACCAGAACTGCATGGACCACAATTACACTGTGACATCATCAGTCAATGCTGTAATGATACTATCTGTCTCTGTAACTCAACTGTTGCCACATATGAATTATCATTGAGCGTATCTTTCATCCTCAGACATCAGACCTATTTCAGAAGCAAACGATCGACATCTGCGATGACGCTGGCATGGCCTTAGATCCATTTCCTTTGGTGAACTCCGGACAGACTCCAGATACACACATGAGCTGCCCGTTCACAGGTATCTAACGTTGCCTGTCAATCACACATCAAAGTTAATAGTTACGGACATTACAGTCAAACCCTGGCGTCTGTTAGCTGCTGTGTGTGGTTTTACTATGCAATACTTTGATTAGTTTACCATCGCTCTCAACGGCGCTTATCGACGATGTTGTAGAAATAAACAGGAAGCGGTCTGCTTTCAAATCTCCTGCTGGAATCGAATCGAGTATTTCGGTGTTACAAACCACGTTCGCAGTCCATACGCCACAGACGCCGACGTGGCCTTGGATCCAAGTAACCACCGCTACCTTGCATACAAACAATGCATTTTTTTGTAAACTGAAGAGCCTCTTGTGGAATAAATCCTCGTCGTGAAACACAACAGTGACGGTCCGTTCCATTGCCATCTGTGCACTGGTCATATTGTCCAGACCTGTATTCTAAACACAAGTAATCGGTACTTGCAGCTTGACGATGTTAACGCCAGTAGCCTTTATTTTCAGGAAATTTCCTGGTACTCATTTTAAACTAGGGTGGTCCCGGGAACAGGCAAAAACTGCATTTTATCAAATGAAAAACATCTTGTGCAATATATCCTTGTCACTGAAAGTTAGAAAAAGAATTCTTGCTTGCTATATACATCCAGTTTTAACATATGGCTGTGAATCCTGGACAATCGGTAGGCAGGCCAAACAATTTCCGGAGGCCGCGGAGATGTGGTTTTACAGAAGAATGCTTAGAATACCTTGGACAACCAAAAAGAGCAACCAAGAGGTTTTGAAAGAGGCAGGAGCCCGAAGACAACTTATCACAGACATCAGAAGGAGACAGTCATCATTTTTCGGCCATGTTATGAGAAGAGGGAAAATAGAACATGCTGTGACCACTGGAAAGATATATGGAAGGAGGGATAGAGGAAGACAACGAGAGAAGATGCTTGACAGTCTTGTTGCATGGCATGGAGGTGTGTTGGCACACGAACTGATACATGCTGCAAGAGATCGCAGATTATGGAGAGGCATGATCGCCCACGCCAGTCGGCAAGGCACCTGATGATGATGATGATGATGATGGTCCCGGGAGCCAAGATAGATCGATACAGACAGACAGACAGACAGACACAGACAGACAGACAGACAGACAGACAGACCGACCGACCGACCGACCGACCGACCGACCGACCGACCGACCGACCGACCGACCGACCGACCGACCGACCGACCGACCGACAGACAGACAGACAGACAGACAGACAGACTGTGAACAAACAGCAACAGTCAAAACACAACAACGCGTCTTACCACAGATAGAGATAAAACGATGAGGATGTCATGTTGTGTATTATTGCTAAGCCTTGTCAACTTATGTATAAAGAAAAATTATTTTGAGACAAGTTGAAGAATATGTATAGTTATATATATTCAGCTGGATTGAATATTTATTGAGGAATAATAAACAATCTAAGACATGTTGGTGCATTACATGGTGTCGCTGGCACAAAGTGAGCAGGAGTTACAGGACCTAGTGGATCAAGTCAGCAGGGGAAGTGAAGAGCATTTTTTATTTCAACATTTTGACATTCTAAACACACAAACTATGATTGGAGAGTAAGCTGCAAACATTTAACATTACAGGAAACATACATATATCTGAAGAAAAAAAAACAGTGAGAAGTTATTCCTATAGTGGACAAGTACGAGAATAATAGATTATATTAGAAGTGAAACAAAAATCAAAAAGAGAGATTAACAACACATCAAACTTAGGGGTCATAAAATATTTTGCACACTCAACCCTGCTATATGGTGCAGAAACCTGGACAATGAACAAGCAACTAGGAAATGTAAGTGAGTCTCTGGAATTATGTCGTACTCCGCGGAAGCAAAAACAGTCAAATACAGACGTTTTAGAGCCCGTGCACTGTGTTGAGCTTCTTCGGACTTACTTGACTTAGAAGAAGAACGGAGCACTTATGGGTTTCATCCGTGTGTCATGATGTTGGTCCGTTGTTCAAACTTCAAACTTCAGAGGGACTGGAATAAAAAGATAGTTACTGATTTGAATCTTTAAAAAGAGGCACTTAAAATATTGCACACACATTAAAAGACTTAAAACTCTTTTAAAACCCATACAGGATGTGTCGTCGAAAACAAGAGAACAATAGGTAAACAGCAATACAAGTAGGAGGACAACAATAAGAAGTGGACGAATAACAGTCTGAGAGAGTGTAATATAAGGACAAGAGACAGAGTGTGTTGTAGATCTGTTGTAGCCAACTTTCATTGTGGAGACGGCGCCTGATCGATGTTGTCTGTATGGGGCTTTGTATGGCGCTGTGACTTCCATGTGTGTCCCCCCACAGGTGGCTACAATATGAAAGTCTACTACCCAGACGACAGTATCGTCTGTATGACCAACATGCTGCTCATGAGGATGGAGAGTGAGTGTGACAGAGGCGAGGGCATCACTTTCGACTTCAGGTAGCACTTGTTTTCACTGTCATTCGCTTTGAGCCATCCCCACCCCCACCCGGCTCTCTCTCCTCTTCTTTCTCTCTCTCTATGACTATCTCTCTCTCTATGACTATCTCTCTCTATGACTATCTCTCTCTATGACTCTCTCTCTCTCTCTCTCTCTCTTTCCCTTACTAACTTTATGTCTCTGTCTGTTTATTTGTCTTTCTTTCTCTAGTATTTCTTTTCCTGAATTGGACTCAGTCTCGTTATCTCCCTCTCTCCCTCCCTCTCTCCCTCCCTCTCTCCCTCCCTCTCTCCCTCCCTCTCTCTCTCCCTCTCTCTCCCTCTCTCTCTCCCTCTCTCTCTCCCTCCCTCTCTCTCTCCCTCCCTCTCTCCCTCTCTCACTCCCTCCCTCTCTCTCTCCCTCCCTCTCTCCCTCCCTCTCTCTCTCCCTCCCTCTCTCCCTCCCTCTCTCTCCCTCTCTCCCTCCCTCTCTCCCTATATTTTGTATCTGCGCGCCTCCTTTTCCTTCTTTATCTGTTTCATTCTGTCAGGTTGTTCTTGTTCTCGTCGTGTCATCTTTTGCATGATTTTTTTTTTCTTGTTTTGTATTCATCAGCCCGGTTTTCCGTGGACGTTGGTGCCAGGACAGTCTTGTCAGATGGCTGAACTATCTCGTCTGTTGTTCTTTAATGAATTGCACAACTAGTCTTTTTCTAATTTCCTTTCATATATTTTTGTTAATTTGTAATTTTTATTTTATTTTAACGGGTCTCGTTACCGCGGCAGTTCTTCTAAGCCTTATCATCTCTGTTGTTGTGTGTGCATTAGTTGCAGTAAAGGTTTATGTTTAACACTGCTAGAACAAGATTAAAACCCCACCTCATTCCCAGAACAACCCCCTCTCCCACCCCCTTCCTCCCCCCCCCCCCCCGAAAATTATTCTGGCTTGATTTTCCTTGGTAGATCCTTGGTGAGATTCAACATAAACAGTTTATTTATTTTGTGTTGATTTATCCTTCTATGTATCACAAGTGATGCTAGTTGTCCTGAACTTGCTTTGCTTCTGCACAACGCTTGTTTATTTCTCTAACCTTTCTTCTATTTGAGGTGATCATTGACGCCAGATATTTAAATTCACTTGCATTTTTTTTATCTCTGCGTTATTATTATGTCTGTTTTATTTACTTTTATAGTCATGGTTTCTGATTGTCTGCCTATCACCATTGTATATGTCTTATGGATGATGTTTTTTTTTTTTTTTTTCTTTCATTTAGGAAGTTCTGGAAACTCTTTTGTTTCTGCTATTAATAGCTGGTTATCTGCAAAACAACAATTCTGAAATATCATATTCTTCGCTCTCTGCTTTTTCATATGTTATTATTTTATGTTATAAAAGATAGAGTCGATTGCACCGGTCCCTGTCATATTCTGAAATAAATTAAAACGGTTTATTCAAACTTATACTCTTTGCATTTAAACTGTTGCAAACTTCGACAAGATGTTCATGCAAAATTCGACAAGATGTTCATGCAAACTTCGACAAGATGTTCATGCAAACTTCGACAAGATGTTCATGCAAACTTCGATAAGATGTTCGCTAACTCCATGTCGTTTTAGGCAGCCCTAAGGCATATTCGTGTCTTCTCTGTCAACATTTTTTCCCTAGTCTATAAATGCGATAGTGTAGATCTTATTTAAGTAATCTTTTTTAAATAAGATGTCTTACTGTATATAACTCATTCTATTTATTGTTTTTTTTTTCAGTTTTACCATCTCTCTCTCGCTCTCTCTCTCTCAAACTCTCTCTCTCAAACTCTGTATCTATCTATCTATCTATCTATCTATCTATCTATCTATCTATCTATCTATCTATCTATCTATCTATCTATCTATCTATCTATCTATCTATCTATCTATCTATCTATCTATCTATCTATCTATCTATCTATCTATCTATCTATCTATCTATCTATCTATCTATCTATCTATCTATCTATCTATCTATCTATCTATCTATCTATCTATCTATCTATCTATCTATCTATCTATCTATCTATCTATCTATCTATCTATCTATCTATCTATCTATCTATCTATCTATCTATCTATCTATCTATCTATCTATCTATCTATCTATCGATCGATCGATCGATCGATCGATCGATCGATCGATCTATCTATCTATCTATCTATCTATCTATCTATCTATCTATCTATCTATCTAATATCTATCTATCTATCTATCTATCTATCTATCTATCTATCTATCTATCTATCTATCTATCTATCTATCTATCTATCCATCCTATCCATCCATCCATCCATCCATCCATCCATCCATCATCTATCCATCCATCTATCCATCCATCCATCCATCTATCCATCCATCCATCCATCCATCCATCCATCCATCCATCCATCCATCCATCCATCCATCCATCCATCCATCTATCCATCCATCCATCCATCCATCCATCCATCCATCCATCCATCCATCCATCCATCATCTATCCATCTATCCATCTATCCATCTATCTATCTATCCATCTATCATCTATCTATCTATCTATCTATCTATCTATCTATCTATCTATCTATCTATCTATCTATCTATCTATCTATCTATCTATCTATCTATCTATCTATCTATCTATCTATCTATCTATCTATCTATCTATCTATCTATCTATCTATCTATCTATCTATCTATCTATCTATCTATCTATCTATCTATCTATCTATCTATCTATCTATCTATCTATCTATCTATCTATCTATCTATCTATCTATCTATCTATCTATCTATCTATCTGTCTATCTGTCTGTCTGTCTGTCTGTCTGTCTGTCTGTCTGTCTGTCTGTCTGTCTGTCTGTCTGTCTGTCTGTCTGTCTGTCTGTCTGTCTGTCTGTCTGTCTGTCTGTCTGTCTGTCTGTCTGTCTGTCTGTCTGTCTGTCTGTCTGTCTGTCTGTCTGTCTGTCTGTCTGTCTGTCTGTCTGTCTGTCTGTCTGTCTGTCTGTCTGTCTGTCTGTCTGTCTGTCTGTCTGTCTGTCTGTCTGTCTGTCTGTCTGTCTATCTATCTATAAATCTATCTATCTAGTTACTATTCCTTCACTTTTTCTTACGCACATTATTTTTCTCTTCTATATTTCTTATACTCTCCTCTCCCATCCTTTCTCTTTCAGTCCATTTATCTCTAAATCTCTCCATCTTTCTCAATCGTTTTATTCCTTCTGTCTCTCGTAACCTCTGTTCAACCGTGTCTCAATCCCCCTCCCCTGCCCCTTTCTTCGCTTTAATGGCATATTGTTACATGATAGTGCCCCTGGTGCAGATTCAATCACAGGCTGAATTGTTCTGTCCACTGTGTCTCCAGGAACTACTCAGCATGTAATTACTCGTATAAATATTTGTATTGGTTCATTGATGCCTTGACCCCGTTGAGCCTCTAGTGCCCCTTAAGCCCCCACCCCCACTTTCACTTCTTTGCCACGAGAAAATTTATAATGGGTCTGAGGGCTCTCCTATTGTTCTCTTTGAGTCTTTTCCCCTTCTTTATATTTATACCTATAATTCACTGGCATAGGAGCGATGATTGCGTCCCCAAGGATCTTCCGGCAAAGACTCACAGACGACTTCGAGCTCGGTGTGTGGCCCATTGGACACAAGACAGCTACACCTTCATTATCCTGCAGGTATGTTCTGGGCGGGGTAGATCAAGAATTCACGGTCATGTGTCTTTTATTGTCTTGTTTTCAGTGTAAACTTATCAACTCTTTCAATCTTTCAGTACCGAACGAGACACGATAATTTCCTTTACCATACCACAAAAATGGGATCTCCTTGCCACTGGCCAAACATGGTTGGGACTATACAAGATTGTCGTGTAAGATGGCTAAAGTAGACAGACTGCGCTTACCGGCACGGCACAGGATGATGATGATACTTGGAGGAAGGAAAAAAAAAGGGGGGGGGGGGGGGTCGGAATAGGTATAGTGTCATTTGAAACAGCGTGGATTTTTATCAAAGTCCCATTGAGAACGTAATGTTTAGAAAACCATAAAGGTATCACCGATGAGTGCTATATTACCCCATCATATCTTTATTAATTTAGCTACTACTGCCCTATAGATTCTCCATTGCACTCCTTTAAAGGTAATTTGAACATTAATTTATTAGTTTGCTAATGCGCGGGAAAGGCAACGGACAGAGTCGACATTCTCACTGCCTTCAAATAGAAGATGATTGATGTTTATTTCTAGAGAACTTTATTTGACAACTTTAGGGCTGTCAAGACAATAAACAGACAGGGTGAAAAACATTTACTGGCGGCAAAGATGTGGTGTTTCTAGAAGGATGCAGATAATGTCACTGAGTGATAGAAAAACAAACCAAGCAGTCTTAATCAAGGCAATTGAAAGAGTTAATTTATTAGAACTATTAGATGCAGATAGCTGGTTGTTTTTTGTTTTTGTTTTTTACATTTTATGAGAATGAATGGGTTTGAAAACTAAGTAACAACTGACAAGATTGATGGAAAGAAAGTAAGTGGAAGGCAACGAGATACCTACCTCGCTGACTTGGCTATTTGGATGGGACGAGACAAGAACCTTGACGTGATCCGTTATTCTGGTAATCGTCTAAGATGGCGAAACATGGCTACGCTTACCGACACGGCACGGGATGATGATACTGCTTAGGGGCCAGAAAATTGACAGGTCGTTTGAGACAGCGTGGATTTTGATAGAAGCTGCATTGAGAACAGAATTGTCAGAAAGCTATATCCTGTCAGGAGAACCCAATCAACACAAGGCGAGTTGCTTAGTATCGAACTAGTTAAAGACTTACGTGAGAGGCGTTGACCTTCCTTCCCAATACAGACAGAACCCATTCCTGTTGCGAACGACTCAATAAAATCAACATAGTTAAAGAGCCCCTACAAAGTTAATTCCTTACTTCCTAGCATGATCAAGGATTGTTGATCGCCTGTATAATCTTATCAGACAAGGTCAATACAATATAGGCGGCTTAACATGCATGGCACTCATATAAGAGATCTGTTGATCTGTCAGTGACAGATGAAAATGAAAAACCTCTATTATAACAGTCTCTATATTTTGGAGGATGGGTGGGTGGGAGCCATTGCCATGTAAGAACATCAAAGTACACTTATGTGGCTAGAGACAGCATTTTACCCATGCCTGCTTTCTAAGTGATTCCATGAGCATACTTAAGAAGATAGAGACAGGATGGATTCCAAGACATTGGTTGGGGTAAAAAGGAAAGAACAAGCGGATTGGTTTGCTGGCAGCGCCTCGGCAGCTTTAGGGAAAGCAATGGACCGGGCCGATGTTCTAATGGATGAGAAGATGATTTAGGAGATGACCTTGAATCAGCACAACTCAAAAAACTACAAGAACTTCAGGTCAAAAGAGGTGTCGGCAAAACCTGAACACTATGCGGGTAGCCAAAGAAGAATAGTAAACACAGAACGTGTGTTAACAGTCGACATACGCTAGGGGGTGTACTGAAGATGGGATCCGAGCGCCCATGGACTTGTCCGATGTGCAATGAAGATAATCTTTCGATTAATAACAAACTAACTAGTAAAGTAAACTTTTCACGTCAGTGGCACCTCAGGCAGGATGTTACACAAATACTTTTATAGATCAATCGGCATCCGGAGGTAGGGATGCTGTCATTATCACTGGGATCGCCTTTATTTTCTATGACTTTTCCTGGTAACCATTCTAAGCTGGGTTGACCGGGAGCCTACGTCACATTTGAAAGATTCTGACTCCATGAGGATTCTTACCTCAGATCTACGGCAGGGAGATTAACGTCTAGCCGCTACACCGCGGCGCACAACTACCAGTGGAGCTATGGAAATACTGCCTTGTTTAACTATCATTGAATGTTGGTGTTTCTTTCACTGTGCCCTGTTTGACTATCATTGAATGTTGGTGCTTCTGTCACTGTGCCCTGTTTGACTATCATTGAATGTTGGTATTTCTTTCACTGTGCCCTGTTTGACTATCATTGAATGTTGGTGTTTCTTTCACTGTACCCTGTTTAACTATCATTGAATGTTGGTGCTTCTGTCACTGTGCCCTGTTTGACTATCATTGAATGTTGGTATTTCTTTCACTGTGCCCTGTTTGACTATCATTGAATGTTGGTGTTTCTTTCACTGTACCCTGTTTAACTATCATTGAATGTTGGTGTTTCTTTCACTGTGCCCTGTTTGACTATCATTGAATGTTGGTGCTTCTTTCACTGTGCCCTGTTTGACTATCATTGAATGTTGGTGTTTCTTTCACTGTGCCCTGTTTAACTATCATTGAATGTTGGTGCTTCTTTCACTGTGCCCTGTTTAAATATAATTGAATGTTGGTGTTTCTTTAACTGTGCCCTGTTTGACTATCATTGAATGTTGGTGTTTCTTTCACTGTGCCCTGTTTAACTATCATTGACTGTTGGTGTTTCTTTAACTCTGCCCTGTTTAACTATCATTGAATGTTGGTGTTTCTTTCACTATGCCCTGTTTGACTATCATTGAATGTTGGTGTTTCTTTCACTGTGCCCTGTTTGACTATCATTGACTGTTGGTGTTTCTTTCACTGTGCCCTGTGTGACTATCATTGAATGTTGGTGTTTCTTTCACTGTGCCCTGTTTGACTATCATTGAATGTTGGTGCTTCTTTCACTGTGCCCTGTTTGACTATCATTGACTGTTGGTGTTTCTTTCACTGTGCCCTGTTTGACTATCATTGTCTGTTGGTGTTTCTTTAACTGTGCCCTGTTTAACTATCATTGAATGTTGGTGCTTCTTTCACTGTGCCCTGTTTGACTATCATTGAATGTTGGTGTTTCTTTCACTGTGCCCTGTTTAACTATCATTGAATGATAGTGTTTTTTTCACTGTGTGATGTTTAACTATCATTGAATGTTGATGTGTTTTTTTTTTTCACTTTGCCCTGTTTAACTATCATTGAATGATGGTGTTTCTTTCACTGTGCCCTGTTTAACTATCACTGAAATTTGATGTTTCTGTCACTGCGCCCCTACGTGAAATACTATAATAATTCGCTGGCATTAAACAACTGTGCTTCTCTGACATTTTCCTAATATCAAATTGTGGTGAATGTTGGTGTTCGCACCAGTTAATGATAGTCTATCACTGTGCCCCTATGTGAAATGTTGCTTTTTATAACTAACTCCACAGCCAGTGACTCAAAGATCCACTTTTCGGATGTGAAGATAGCAGGAGCAAATCCCTTACATCCACATAATTAACAGTATAAAACAGACAGACAGACAGACAGACAGACAGACAGACAGACAGACAGACAGACAGACAGACAGACAGACAGACAGACAGACAGACAGACAGACAGACAGACAGACAGACAGACAGACAGACAGACAGACAGACAGACAGACAGACAGACAAATCAGACACACAGACAGACAGATAGCTGGACAGATATCTGGACAGATAGAAAGACAGACAGACAAACAGACAGACAGAAAGACAGACAGACAGACGCACGGAGAGACAGAAGGACAGACAGGCAGACGGACGGACGCACGGACGGACGGACGGACGGACGGAGGGACGGACGGACGGACGGACAGACAGACAGACAGACAGGCAGACAGACATACAGACAGACAGACAGACAGACAGACAGACAGACAGACAGACAGACAGACAGACAGACAGACAGACAGACAGACAGACAGACAGACAGACAGACAGACAGACAGACAGACAGATGGACAGACGGACAGACGGACAGACAGACGGACAGACAGACTGACAGACGGACAGACAGACGGATAGACGGACAGACGGACAGACAGACGGATAGACAGACAGACGGACAGACAGACGGATAGACAGACAGACGGATAGATAGACAGACAGACAGACGGACGGATAGACGGATAGACAGACAGACAGATAGATGGATAGATGGATAGATGGATAGATGGATAGATGGATAGATAGATTGATAGATTGATAGATTGATAGATTGATTGATAGATTGATAGATTGATAGATAGATAGATTGATAGATTGATAGATTAATAGATTGATAGATAGATTGATTGATAGATTGATTGATAGATTGATAGATAGATAGATTGATAGATTGATAGATAGATTGATAGATTGATAGATAGATTGAATGATAGATTGATAGATAGATAGATTAGACAGATATAGGGGTGGATGGATGAGTAGAAACATTGAGAGAGACAGATAAAGACAGAGACGGAGATACGGAGAAAGAGAAAGAGACGTACAGAGCGATAAGAGTAAGAGCAAGTGGAGGATAAGAGAAAGAAAGAGAATGAGAGAAAGAGAATGTTATGTTATTCCCTGCGGCTCTTACACTGTTGTGCACCAATCCTATTCCACAGCACATGGATGTGAAAACCCAGTGGTTCTGCCTGCGGACGACTGATCCCTTGAGCGACATTCGGAACGCTTACCTGTGGCTCAAAGTCATATGTGACACTTCAGAGATACCTTCCCCAGAAGTATCAAACAGTTACCTGCGACTGGCGCTAACCAGACGCATCTTCTCCAGCGCCTGTGAGGATGAACTGGAGATGTGCGCGGGAAATAGCCACAACTGCTTCAATCAGTACAAGCGGCACTGCGCGCACACTTGTGGCCAGTGCATGTCTGAGAACCACATGGGAACCTGCACGTTCGATGAACAGTACAGGGGCAAGTAAGCGAAATCTGCTTCCTCTTTCTTTGTTCTGCCTCCATCAGTCTTAAGCAGGGGATGATATCACATAAGTTCTTTCCTGAATAATTACAATTGTTGACATCCATTAGGGAGCAACATTCAGGAATAATTACAATTGTTGACATCCATTAGGGAGCAACTTTCAGGAATAATTACAATTGTTGACATCCATTAGGGAGCAACTTTCAGGAATAATTACAATTGTTGACAACCATTAGGGATCAACTTTTCAGGAATAATTACAATTGTTGACATCCATTTGGGAGCAACTTGTCAGGAATAATTACAGTTGTTGACATCCATTAGGGAGCAACTTTCAGGAATAATTACAATTGTTGACATCCATTAGGAAGCAACTTTTGAGGAATAATTACAGTTGTTGACATCCATTAGGGAGCAACTTTTCAGGAATAATTACAATTGTTGACATCCATTAGGGAGCAGCTTTTGAGGAATAATTACAATTATTGACATCCATTAGGGAGCAACTTTTAAAGAATAATTACAACTGTTGACATCCATTAGGGAGCAACTTTTCAGGAATAATTAACAAACATATATGTACAAATTAAATCTGAAAACTGTTTAAATCTTAGAACATGAAATGACCGACCCGTTTTTTTTTTTTTTTTTTTTTTTTTTTTTAAATAGTTGCATCAAGAATTAAATTGCAATAAAAGTGGATATATTGGATTTCATTGAAAAGAAGTGGTGAACCTAAGCGATAGCCTATAAATTTTTTTTTAAATTTTTTTTTTTCACATTTTACTGAAGCTAACAAAAATATCTGACTTTCTTGGTAATTATTTTAGTAATTAGTCTCTTCGAAGGTAAAATTGTGGTTTTACAAAGTGCCAGTTTGGGTAACTGGCTCGAAACAATTTGAGTGGACGAATAAATAGCTACCAAGGTCACATAAACTGTTTAGAGTTTGGATTCTCAGTCATCTTCAAGCTTGAGGTTTCTACGGCCTCATGTCCAAGGTCCTTTACGGAACTTCTACAAACTCACATCTTTATAAAAGGAGTCTTTATCCTTTGCCAATTTTACTGGTAATTTGTATCTCAATGTGTGCAATATTCTATGTTAGCCTATATTCTTGTCGACCTCTGCCTCATCTGTCAGGGGTCTTGTTTCCAGTGTTGTTGTCTGGATATGGGATTTTCCCAACCACTGTTGTGTTCAGAATGGTTATATTTGTTCACATTCCGAAACATAATGCTGTTTACGAGCTACTTTTCGTATATGTTCAGATCCTACAGAAGGTCGATATGTTCTTAGAATATTTCTGCAACATATTAGTTGCAAAACCAATCCCAGATTTGTCTTCTTCGGTACTTATGAAATGGCCTATAGTTTACACTAAAATATTGCAACATAGTAGATTCATGTTCTCATATTTTGTACTTAGATGATTTGCCTGACCTTTTTGCGCCTTTGCTGTTCTGTGCTCTTTTCGCATCTTGCCTTCCAGCGTCAGGTTGTGAAGAAGCATCTGGTACGAGCCCTTTGTGAGGAGTCCGTAAATGCCTTTTTTCACGACCTCGAATATCTCATCAATCCCCTGCTTGCTTGGGCGACCCCTGGTTCTGCTTCCATTGTGTCTGGGTGACTGAGCGCTCTATGGTGTACTGTCTTGTTGTAGTCTTGATACATGTTCGAACCATTTGATGTACCATAAAAACTCGTTACCGGTACAGGCTGGTGTGGCCATTACGGCGCAGCCATTACACGTAACTTCTTTGGAAGCTGAACCGCGTGTTTGGGTTCGAACCCTAATGCTCTGCCATCCAGACTGTGCTTGTATCATCTCAGATGGTCAGATTGCCAGGTAACTGCCCGGACGAGATCAACAGCACACGTGCACAGTTTGATGTGTTGTCTCTTGATATAGTTTAACACTAGACCCCTACTAGACCGGGCAGACATTCTCAATGCTCTCAGGACTGTAGGACAAGACGTTGATTCAAGAGACGACTTTGAATCGGCAACGTTCAAAAGAAGTTCAGGTCAAAATCGGTTTCGCCAAATATGAATACTATACAGGTAGCCAAAGAAGAATAGTAAACCAATACAGAACTAGAGTTATCAGCCGATACACGCTGGAAGAAATACTGAAGATGGGATCCGCGCGTTTATGGACTTTTCCGATGTGCAATGAGGAAATGTTTTCAAATAACTAACTAACTAACTAACTAACTAACTAACTAACTAACTAACTAACTAACTAACTAACTAACTAACTAACTAACTAACTAACTAACTAACTAACTAACTAACTAACTAACTAACTAACGTGTTTCCTGATATATTCCTTTGCCATCCCGTCTCTTATTGTTGCATATAAGATTCATCGTAGACAGTTTATTTCTGCTGTTCTGATTTTCCTTGTTCCCCCCCCCCCCCCCCCCCCCCGGTTTCTTTTGTAATTAATGCTCATGCTTGGCACTGATAGCTCACTGTTGGTTTTAAAAAATTGGCATTAAATAGTGCTCTTTTAGTGTCCATTGTTAGAAATATGTTCTGTAATATTTGTGACAACTGTACAATGAGATGATCTGCTTTATTACACGGTGCTTCTATTTTTATATTGGATGGTATTATGCTCCATAGATGCTTGAAATTTCTGCTTGCTTGAGATTTTGGTTTCTGTGCGTATCTTTATTGGTTGTTCTGTTTTGCAATGGCCATAACTTAGGTTTATATTTTCAAAATTGGTTTCCCATAAACAGTAGCCATGGAACGGGTGGGGGGAGGGGGGGGGGCGCCGGCGTGGTCTTGAGGCATAGTGTCCGTCTTGAGTGCTAGAGGTTCCGGGTTCAATCCGCGGTAAGAGCTGGGATTTTTTCACGTGGACTTGGACTTCTAATAATTCCCTCTGGTCTCTGGGTAGTGAGATCGGACTCCCGTGTGTATTGCTGTGCACGTAAAAAAATCTCTTGGCAGTTGGAAATTGAAAAGAGTAGCCTAACGGCGCTGCCGGGGCAAAATTTGAAGTTAAAAATCTACCCAAAGTATTTCAGGATCCTCTCCTGTGCTACAGAGCCTATGCACTGTGTTAAGCTTCTTCGGACTCAGACGAGTTGAAAGAAGAACAGTGCACTTATGGGTTACTACCCGTGTGCCATGATGTTGATCCGTTGTTCCAACCTCAAATCTGGAGTAGCCATTGCTGTTGGTTAGAGTGCCAAGATATCTAAATTGTATGACAACAAATTAAAGGAAAAGACTTAACCGAGTCAGTAAACTCAAATATCTGGGTATAATCATATCCTCAGATGGAAAATGTGTGACAGATTAAAAGCAGAATATGGCCAAGCGAAGGCTGCATTTCAGAAAAGGAAAAATATCTCAAACAATAAATCACTCTCATTTAATGTCAGAAAGAGGGTGCTAAAGTCTTACATAGAACCTGTTTTGCTGTATGGTAGCGAATCATGAAATGTCAGTGAACAACTCAAGAAGAATTTGGAAGCAACAGAGGTATGGTTTATAATACGAATATTACTAATACCTTGGACGGCCAGAGTAACTAACATCGAATGCTTGAAAAAAGCTAATGAAAGTAGATCTCTATATACAAAAATAAAAATAGAGTGAAAACCACACAACAGCAAGGGGCTGCATGGATTGATTCTGCAACGTCCTGTAAAAGGATACGGAACTTACCTTATTGGGAACACGTTTGCTTTCTTGCGGCTCGTCCCTGTTCAACGATAAGGTTATAATGGAGGTGGAGGCAGTCTCTGCTACCTCACCTTCCACTGGCTTGAGAGTCAGCTGTGCACACATGCTGTTATTGTAGCTGACTCACAGAGTTTGTTGAGAAAGGTGGAGACATGTATGCTTAGTGCAGAGTGGCAAGCATCGCTTCAGAGGTCCCGGGTAGTTAGCATCCCTTGGATATTCTCTTCATGTGATGCCAGTGTGTTGGGAAATGAGCAGGCAGTAGACTAGCTGGGTCTGCACCACTTAGTGGTGAACTGACTTATGACAAGCTAGATTATGCGAGGGCCCTTTAGGAACGAGTGAACAGTGCCGAGGGGCAGAAGGATCATTACGGTCTAAGGAGAATGGCGCTGTGAGGAGTTACCAGGGGATCTGGCCGACGCTCAACACTCTGGGGAAGGATGAGACAGATATACAATCAGAGGGTTACCGGTGCCTTTGAAATTGGAACTCCTCACCTGCTGCTGAAGATGGGGACGGATCACTTATCGGAGTCTCCCGAGTGCTGTAATGTCGATTCCTAATTCAACATTCAAAATATTCTAGTGACTATCGGTCATTTTCCTTAGCGAAATTTGTTTTCGAATAAATTGTAAA